CTCCCTATTCCTCCCCACCTCGCCGCCCATCTCAGAAAACCACCAACCTCCACACAGATGCTCATGCCAAAGTCCTAGGAGTTACCCTTGACCTATCTGACCACACCAAATAGCATCCCGGGCCCCCCACCATCGCCCCCTCTCCCACCTGGAGGACCATAAGGACTGGGCTTCTTGCTTCTATTCCCGCCCCCCCATAGTCCATTCTCCCCACGGCATCTGGAGGGAGCTCTGTCAAGGGTCAATTGGGGTGTCAAGGGCCACTCACCTATTTTTAAAAACCCAAGTTTCCCACCCTACTTGTCATACATTCCAAATTCCTTGATCTGGCCCCACAAGGCCCCGTAAAAGCTGGTCCTGCCTGCTGCCCCCTCACCTCTTACTTGTCTCCCACGCGCTAGCTCTGCTCCAGCCACGCCCCCTTCCTCTGGGCCCCCGAACAAGCCAAGCTGCTTTCCGCCTCAGGGCCTTTGCACTGGCTGGTGCCTTTCCCCGAGCTCTCCCCCCAGCTTCCTCATGACTGACTCATTCAGGCCTTGGCTCTCAAGGCCACCCGCACAGTGAAACTTTTCCTGACCACCCTATTAAAAGCGGCTTCCTTCCTCTCTGGCACCACCCAGTTTCGTTTTCCTCATTACACTTACTCTAAAACAGCCTTGTTTTGCTAGTTTGTTTACTGTCCATCTCCCCACTAGAACAGAAGGTCCTCCCCCTTGTTCACAGCTGTCCCCTCCGGGCCATGAGTGGGCACCTGGCATACACATGGTGCTCAATAAGTGTGAGTTGAATGAATAAGTGGCTATGTTTTTTGTAGTCACTCCACTAGGTGAAGCTTTAAAAGTGTGTGTGTCCGGGGAAGGCCTGGCTGGTACAGCTCAGTGGACTGAGCACGGGCCTCTGAACCAAAGGGTCACTGGTTGGATTCCCAGTCAGGGCACATGCCTGGGTTGCAGGCCAGGTCCCCAGTTGGGGGCCCATGAGAGACAACCACACATTGATGTTTCTCTTCCTCTCTTTCTCCTTCCCTTTCTCTCTCTCTAAAAATAAATAAATAAAATCTTTAAGGAAAAAGCGTGGGGTGGGGAGAGGGCATGAACAGAGACGGTCTGATTCTATTGTGGGCCCTTCTATGCCCTTCTCCGCACTGGTGTCCCCCAGAGGCTGGCCCTGCCACATGGAGCCCAGGAAGTCCTTAGTGACTGGGACAGAACTCCACCGAGAACCCTTCAACAGGGAGGAAAACCGCCTGCACAGGGAATACGGGTTACAGTCACGCTACCTCATGCTCAAATTCCAGGATGGATGAGCCACAGCAAACCCAGCCCAGGAACGATGGATCCCAGCACACCTCAGCCGGGCTCCTGGGACCCAGCCCACACCCTCCGCTGGGTGGTTTGGCTGGGCTGGTACCCACTGCCCATTCTGCAAGCAACAGGACCCATCCCTTCCTTTTGGGGACTTGCTCTCCCCCACTCTCAGACAGTCCAGGTGAGACTAACCCCACCTTCTCTGGGGTCGGGGGAACAGACTCAAACCTGGCCAAACCCGGCTTACAGGGCGTGTTTTACCTCCCTGGGCACGCAGCTGCAAGTTTGCAACTTCTGGCACCCATCCTGCCTTTCCCAGGGTGAGGAGGGAGACAGGTCCCTGACGTCCCAGCAGGAGCCTTTTCGGTGACATGAGCCAAATACTCCCTCTTCTTATCAGCCGCCTGGAGTGGCCCAGCTGACACCCTCTCACCCTTCACTGCTTCACGACACAGCTCCCACCTGCAACTCCCTGAGCCCACCCTTAGAATTCCCCGTTCCCACCGCCCTTTCTCCAGCTCGTCCACCTAGCAAACTCTTCTTTTAAAAAAAAATCATTTATTGATTATTAAAGAAATAGGGAGATAGAGAGAAGCATCCATTTCAAATGTTCTGCTTACTTATGCACTCATTGGTTGACCATTGTATGTGCCCTGACAGGGGATCAAACCCACACCCTTGGCCTATTGAGACAATGCTCCAACCAACTGAGCTAACCGGCCAGGGCCCGCCTGGTAAACTGTGATTTATCCTACATGGGTTCAGATACTGCCTCTTCCTGGAAGCCTTCCTGACTCCCTCGGACGAAGGTTGCCTTTTGTTTCCCACCACACCCTCTAGGTTTCTCTAGGAAACCTTTGTTCACTAGATTCTACCTGTCAAACTCTATTTGCCACGACCATATTACAAAAATAGGGATTTTTATTTCTCGGTCTCCAAATACAAAATGATGTTTTAACAGTTCATGTAAATTTTCGATCCATACCTACCCCGAGCCCAGACGTTCTGAGCGACCCCTCTAGAGAGACACCTTCCCTACTCTAGATTGAAAAGCTGTAGCCAAACATCGCTCACTGATTCAGTCAACACCCGTGCAGCCCCCTTGGTGGACAGCTTAGTGCCAAGGGCTGAACACACACGTTATAAAACTGTATGCTAATTATCCCTTTACCTGGACAAGCTAGGAAAACACAGGGAGGGTTCCTGCCAAACCGTTTAACCAACATTACTTTGGAAACTGGCATTAGAGGGACAGAAGGGCACTTTCCCTTTGTACTTTTTATCATTTTAAAGTGACAGGGTCAGTGGCCCTGGCCTTGTTACTCGGTTGGTTAGGGTGCTGTCCTGATACACCCAGGTTGCAGGTTCGGTCTCCGGTCAGGGCGCATGCAAGAAGCTACTAAAATGAATGCCCGACTAAGTGGAACACCAAATCAACTCTTTCTACACCCCTTCTGCTCTCTCTCTAACATCGATAAAAAAAATTAAACACAAAGCGATGCGGTTAGGGGTGCTTTTGACTTTCTTAGTATTTTTCAGCCGCAACATTTCTTAGTGGCTCTTTGGTGCATTTGTTTCCCTATGAGACTGGGAGCCCTCAGGGCCAAGGATGAGTCTGAGTCACCCCTGACTCCAGGGCCTGGCACGCGGGAGGACCGGCAGTGACCGCAGGGCAGAGCTGAGCAGGCTCGGAAAGCGGAATCAGCAGGCACGAGACGCAGGCCGGGGCCTGCCTTGCCTCAGTGGGCAGCCGGGGCAGGAGAAGCGTGGTCCCCGCCACAGCCCAGGCCCAGCGTGGTGCCAGGACGCCGGCAGAACAGAATACTCATTTGTTGTAGGAAGGGGTCACGGGCCACAGAACTCCCAGAAAACAGACCTGGCCCAGCGTTGCACTTTTCGGAGGACAGACAGGGAAGATGAGCTGAGGGAAGCTGGGGCGGGAGGAGAGAGAGGAGGGGGCTTGGCAGTGAGGGGCTCAGGAGACCTCGAGGGTCAGTCCTGGTGGGATGTCAGGGGGCAGAGGTCAGCCTGCTGCTGCGGCCTGTGGGGAGGCTGGGGCACGTCGTTCTGGGGGAGCAAGAACACAGGGGTATCTACTGCTCACAGAGGACGGTGGCCAGGCTGGGCCCGCGCTGGGCTGCCCTGTCTTTCCCCCTCCCTGTCATCTTTGTTCTTTCAACAGAGGCTTCCACAGGGGCTGTGGTGGTTTGTGGATTCAAGGCACTCACGTTAATTAGCACGGTGCCTGGTACCGAGGCTGTACCGAACAGGCTCTCACTATGGCTACCGTACTGAGCCCGGCATTGGGAGGCTACGTCTGGGAGATACGTTACGGAGCCGTGGGCACGGATGGCCCTGGGGGTTCCTGCAGGACCAGGCCCAGGGGCAGGAAGCTCTCACGAGGCAGAGACCAGCTCGGTGTGAAGGACAGTCCCAAAGGAGGGCACTTGTCGGTAGTGAAAAAGCCCGTGGGAGGCAGAACTCTGTCCAGGGAATAGCCTCTTGGGCACTAGACAGCACCCCGGAGTAGCAGCGCCTGCCCAGGGTTCCACGGAAGGGGGTAGAGGGAGAGAAAGGCATCTGCCGAGCAGTCACTGGGGGAATCACGGGGCTAAGGGGGGTTAAATGGGACTCCTCAGGACCTTCACCGCCTTGGCACACAGGCCACAGGTTCGAATGCTCGCAGAAACCAGGAAGGTCGCACACATGGGTGACGCAGACAGGTGTAGGTGGGGGGTGCTGGCGAGCGCTGACCCAGTGGAAGGAGGAGCCCGCCCAGCTCCTCCCCTTCTCCCGTCTGGTATCCTTATGGGAAGTCTGTGAGCCACAGTCAAGGGTTGAATCCTGTCTCCAAAAGAGATATGCTGGAAGCGCTAACCCCTGGTGCCTAGAAATATGACCTTATTTGGAAATGGGGTCTTGGCAGATGTAACCAAGTTAAAATGAGGTCACCAGGGTGGTCCCTAATCAATGATTGGTATCCCTGTAAGAAAGGGACATTTAGACACAGAGACACCCACAGAGCGAAGGTGGCAGACGCAGAGGTTGGAGCGGTCCGTCTCCAAGACACCAAGGGTTTCTGCACCCCCAGGAGCTAATCGGAGCAAAGAGGGGTTCTCCCCTAGATCCTCCAGAGAGCGCGCGCGCACCTTGATTTCAGACACTGGCCTGCAGCAATAAATGTCTTATGTTTTAAACCGTCCAGTTTGTGGGACTTCATTACGGCAGCCCCAGGACACTAAGACGGCCCCCTAACTCAGTATTCGATGTCTAGAAGTTGCCAGAATGCGGGGAAAAGATGCAGGACTCCCTGACTCAGAGATCACAGCCCCCTTTTCTGAAAGAGCAGTGCGCTGGCCGAGCCGGGGACCCAACGTGAGGCCCTAATTCGGACTCTCAGCCTTTCGGTTTGCAGCCACACGGGCACTGTTCTTGTGGTGACCCCTAGAGAAGGCCATCCGCAGAGCGGTCACTGTGGGAAGCGCTCCATCCTGTGGAGAACGTCCCCTCTCTGAGTCTCGCTCTGCCCCTCTGAGAGATGGGGGCAGCACCTCCCAAGGCTTCCTAGGGATTCTGGGAACTGCCCGGCATGTGGTTGGTGGTGGGAACAGTCCGCAAAGACCAGTCAGCGCCCGTGTGCGTACTCCTGCGGGCCCGCCGCTGAGGGGCGCTGTGCTCCTGGGCTGCCCTTACCTGTGCTGTGAGCTGGATAGGCTGGGACAGGGTGAGCTGCGGGGTCCCAGGGGACTGGCTGGCAGGCTGTGGTTGTGACAGGTCGCCTCCCCCAGAAGAGGCTGGGGGCTGCGAGGTCGAGGAGGAGGCAGAGGAGGAGGAGGAGGAAGAGGAGGAGGAGGTGGAGGAGGCGGCAGCGGCGGCGGCGGCATTGGACTGTTGCACGGCGGCGGCCAGGAGCTGGGCCTGTGCTTGCTGCAGGAGGAGCTGCTGCTGGGCGGGCATCAGCGCCGTGAGCTGTGGGGTGGGTGAGCGGCGGGGCGCGGGGGGGGGGGCATGAGGAGCAGAGAAAGCAGAGAGGGGTTAGTGCCTGAGCCAAACAGGTAAGGAAGCAAGTCTTCCAGGAGGCAGAAGAGGGCACATGGCAGACGGCAGAGAGTGGCCATGGCCCTGGAAGGACACCTAGGCCACCAGTCCTGTAACAGAAGGCAGCGGCTGGCCTGTGCCCCCGTCCCCGACCTCTCTGAGTACTTACCCCGGCAAGCTGGCTGCCCGTCAGCATGAGCTGGGCCTGGGGCAGATGTGGTTGAGCTGGCTGGGGGGGCGGGGGTGCTGCTGGGGCTGAGTCGCCACTGGGGTCTTCAGCCTTGATCTGGGGAGGAGAGAGGCAGGGTCCGGGACCCCAGAATGTTAAGTGGAGGCCAGAGAGAATGCCCACCTGCGAACCAAAGAGAGGGCACTTGTGTGGCAACAGCAGCCTCCGGCCGGCACAGAAAAAGCAGACTGGGGTGTGGAGACCAGACCCTGCGCTGGTCGGCTGGGGCCTCAGGCCACCTCGTTTCCTCATCAGGTAGGCGGGCCACCTTACCCCCTGCACCCAAATTCCCTACAGGACAGGGCCACCTTTGGAGGACACATTCCCCCTCTCGGGAGTCAGGTTCCCGGTGTGTAAAATGGGAAGTGAGGCCACAGGCCCCGGGACCTCAAGTAAGGGGGTCTGGGTCCCAGACCCCTCATCTGCTTCAGCCAGAGGCACATCTCTTATTCGTCCGATGAAGTAATATTTCATTGGAAGGAAGGGTCTTAGGATATTCAGCACATACACAGACACATGCTGCTTTAGAGCATGGGCCACAGATTCAAATGCCAGCAGCGACCGGCAGAGAGCAGGAATGGGGCGACCTGGGCGGAGGGCAACAGGAAGGCTGAAGAGGCTGCCCGCCCACCCGCAGGAGAGGCCTGCCCAGCTCCAGCTGCTCCCGCCAGCCAGAGTTTAAAATCAAAACCGTGCGGGACAAGGAAAACACATCCGCAGGCCTCATGTGGCCCAAGTGCCCCCGGCTGTCAGCCTGCACCCCCGAGGTCCCCTGAGCTCCTCCTCGTCCTTCGTGGGGATGCAAAGGCATCTTGCATAGAAGATAGACCAGCATACGGTGGCCCTGGCCTCCTTCCTCTGCTATGCAAAAAGCCCCAAAATGGTGGGCTCCCCTGGGGGCGTCTGTTGGTAAAGGACACATGGGGAATGGGAGGAGGCCCAGAGGGGACACCTGGGACCATCCTGCAGCCTAACATCCCAGCATCATCTTGCCATTAAAAGAAAGATCCCTAGAAAAAGCGGTTGAGCAAGGTGACATAGCAGCTTGGCAAGGGCGGGGCCTTTGGAAGGCAGACTGTGAAGGACGGAGGCCTGGAAAAGGTCCGTCACAGAGGGCGAGTGGCGTGCCCCTAAGCGTGGGACACAAATGTCAGCAAGCGTTAGGGGCACGGGGTGCAGCACGCAGCCACAGCCAGTATCAGAAGCCAGGGGCAGTGTCTCCACGCCCGGCGGGAATAAGGACCTTCTGGAAGACGGTCATGTTCTGCTTCTCCATTTGGCGCTGGGGGCACAGCTGCTCAGCCTGTGAAAACCCACAGAACTGTACGCCGAGGGTCTATGGCTGTGTCCTATTTCAGTGAAAAGCTGTGTTTGTGTTTTAAATAAAGGACATTGGCAACCGCGGTGAGGACACTATTCCTCCTTCAGAGAGACTTCACTCTTGCTGGCTCTGGTCAGAACGGCTCCGTCAGGGGCTGGGACCCCCTCATGCCTCCCAACTGGCCGACTCCCCAGTTCGCGGAGAGCGGGCCTCCGACAAAACCCAACGGCAGGCGAGCGTCTCTAGGTACATTTTAATAATCGTATTTATTTCCATGGCAAGTGATTTTGGTTTTCCATTCATGAAATTTCCATTTAAAAAAAAAACACACACACACATTTATTTCAGCTGTGGAAAGAGCAAGCCGGCTCACGAGTCGGTAATTGTTGAAGCCGACTGACAGGGACCTGGGGGTTATTTTCATTATGCTCTTCTTTCTACTTTAGCATCTTCTCCGAAATAAAATGCTTCTTTAAAAATTGGGGCAATCAACAAAGTGATTATGTGCATAGTTGAGCGCAGTGGTGTGTGGATTTGTGTGAAACGGTTCTGGACACACGTGAAGCCCACAGGAAGAAAAACACTGACTCTGGAGAGGCGAGGGCCAGAGAGGCCTGGCCAACAGTGGCCGCGACCTTTCTCTGGGAACCAAGCCCCGCCCGGGAGGGAGATGAGGACCCTCCCTTCCAGGCCCCCTGGTTCCCCGGTGAGGAAGTGGGGCTACTGTGAGGCCAGGAAAGGCAGCAAACGTCCAGCTGAGGAAGATGGTGTGGAGGAGGTAGAGGGACGCTCTGAGGGCTAAGGTCAGGGCCAGAACTGAGGTCAGAGGGACGGGGGTCCAAGCTGGGGCCCTTCACCCCTGGGCCCTGGCCAACTCACTCAAGACAAGACAGCTGTCCACCAAGAGGCATCAGGGTGCACTAGGTGTGGAGGGGTCCTCAGAGGCCATCTAATGGGACTGCCCCCCCCACCCCCCAAGTTAGGGAAGAGGAAACTGAGAAGCTCAGGGGGAGGAGCGATTTTCCCATGGTCACAGAGCAGTTCCCGGCCTCTGGTCAGGACCAGGAGTCCCCCCTGTGCCCCGTCTGCCCTGCCCCAGTGCTGCCCGCAGGCCTCACCACTGGTGCGGGCTGCCCGCCAGGCTGGAGGATGCAGAACCGGACCCCAGGCAGGCTGGGAAGCCCCCCACCGCCCAGCAGCGGGGCCCCACCTGGATTTGGGATTTGCTCTGTTTGGCCACTTCCGGCCTCCCCATCGTCCTCTCCTACACATTCCCTCAGTCCCCCAGCCATCCCCACCTGGTCTGCCTCCCCCTGCCCCCCGCACTCCCCTGTCCCTTCTGAGTAAGTGTTTTGGGGGGCAGAGGGTGGGGTGGGGTGGGGCAGGCCCCTCTTCGGTCAGGGAAGTTGGGATGGGGGCGGGCCCCTCAGCTTCCTGTTGTTCATCGCCCTGGGGCTCTGGGGGGGATTTCCCTGGCCACCCCCACCCCCCAGGGAAGGGGAAGGAGCCTGGGTGAGTCACAGGCCTGGGGCGGGAGCCCGAGGGTGAGAAGGGGTGGGAGGAGCCTTGTCACTAAGGTGCCAGGGCTAGGTGCTCCCTCAGGCTCTGGGTTGGTGGTAAGCCTGCGGGACCCTCTCCCAAAAGCAACTGCCACCCATCACACCCTCTCCAGACACCCAAGGTCTGGACTCCCCATCACAGGACACCCCACCGCCTCCCCTGCCCTGGCTGGCCCGATGGGTGCTTACCTTGGTGCTGGGGCCAGTTGGGGACATGGAGAACGGGGAGGTCTTACTCTGGGGGTTCTGTGAAGAGAAGTTGGGGTAGGGATGGGACTAGTGAGACGAAGCAGCTGCTGACCCCTCAGAGCCCCGCTCTGCTCCCTCCTCTCCGCCCCCACGCCTCCTGCACATCCACTCCCTCCTGACCTGGTGGTTAGTGTCTGGTCCATTTCTTTCCGTGTCTGCAAGGGGAGGGAGAAAACAAGTGGTCACCAGCTGCCCCCGCAGCTCTCCCCACACCTGCCCCCTGCCACCCCCTGCCTCCCCACACACCTGTGTGCTCTGATGGGGAGTCCAGACCTTGCTTCTCGGCCTCCAGGGGCTTAGACATTCTTATTTCTGGGGACACAGGAGGGATGGAAGTGCAGTGAGGGGAAGCCAGGAGTGCTCTGGGCCCTGACTCCAGCAGCACCCCAGCGACCCCTCTCCCCCTGCCTCCCTGGAAGTGTCTCTTTCTGGGAGACATGCCCTTGGTTCTGGGCCTCTGCCCTTCCCTGGGGAGACGAGAGAGGGGCTTTCAGGCCTCGGGGTCCTGCCTGATCCCTTTCACCCTCCAGAAGGTTCCCGGGGAGGTTTGGCCCCTGGAGGCCCCGGCGCAGGGCAGGAGGCGGACAGCGGGTGCTGGTCCTGAGAAGGCCTTGGCCGCCCGGCTGCCTGGGAGGAGGCCGGTGCGGTTGCACTGCAGAGTCGGCCGGGGCCTCCTGCTGAGGCGCGCCGCCCAGGCGCCCGTCCTGCCTCACCAGGTTTCAGCTGAGGCATGTTTTCCACTCAGAGCGGGGCCGGGGGCTGTCACAGGACGGCAGCATCCCCGCAGGAGCGAGTCTTCAGATCTCGCGGTGTGATTCAGCCGCCCGCCGGCCCTCCCCCAGCCCACCACTTTCCCGTCCGTGCCTCACTCCCACTGGCCGCCCTTCTCGTGTTCGGTGCAGCCACAACCCCTTCCGGCTCTGCCTTACCTGGGACGTCAGCCCTGAATTCTAACTGCACCCCCAAATCCCAGCAAGATGCCTGGCTCCTGAAATGCCATCCCTTTCTATGGTTCTGCAGACCCCGGAAATAGAAGGAGGTGGCCAGGGGCAAGTGGTGAGCAGCTAGCTGGCACCAGGGGGCACAGCGCAGTGGAGGGTGCTCTGTCTCGGTGCCCTGACGCTGACAACCGGAAGCTGCGTGCTTCCCAGGGCCAAGCACAGTGCTAAGTATGACTCCAAAATCGCGTTAGCCGTTGGTGCTCCTATTACCCCCATTTCACAGGGAAGGAAACTGAGGTTCTGAGGAGGTGTCATTCCCCTAAGGACACCACCAGACAGCAGCGTCGCCCTAATGGGCGTCCCCCCCAACTCCGTGAGTCCAGGGTCCCTGCGTTTAAGCAGGACTGCTCCGGGCTAATGAGCCCCAGTCATGACCTCCACTCACCTCGTCACCAACAATCACCATGACATTGACTCAAGCTCAGTCCCTCCTGGTCCAAGACCCCCACAGAAATCTGGGCTTCTGCCTGACCCGTTCTCCATCCCCCTACTCACTCTGGATCCCAAATCCCACCCAGGTAGTCCAAGATCATCTGCTGGGCTTGATTCCCAACGTGGCCACACATCCGCCTCACTCGTGAGCCTGACTCAGACCCAAAGGTGTCTCCCACAGGTCCCTGCAAATCCCCAACCCGCACGGTGGTCCCACCCTACAGAGGAGCTGCCCCAGGCCGCTGTGTTCTGCACCCAGTATTTCGAGAAGGCCAGCTAAAGAGAGCGCTGGACATCCTCGGCAACTGGAAAAAAAGAAAGCCTGGGAATTTTGGAACGAGGATTGCTTGATATGAAACACTACTCCGAGGAATTAAGACTCCTGGTGAAAGAGCCAGGTCGCACGGCGCTGGTGGGGAGGGTCGATCAACACAATCTCAAGTCAGGAGAGCTGAGAGGTGCCCCGTTCTGTCATGCTGTGCACCCACTCACGGGCAGCCTGCCCTCCAGTGCCCACAGGGGCACACGTTCCCAGCAGCCCTTTCGCGAAGGCTCTGAAATACCTCCAAGTAGAGGCTCCGGAAATAACGCAAAGGCCCATCCACGGACAGTGGATCAGCAACAGGTGGTATGTCCACAAAGCGAAGTACTGCACAGCAAGGAAAAGAACAAACTTCTGCATCACAGACCAATGAGTCTCACAGCCTGGACGCCAGACACCAAATCGGACAGACAGGAGGGCTCCAGTTCCTCAAAGCTCAGAAAGAGGCAAGATGACGTCAGGTGATCAAGGCCAGATCATCGGGGGCTGCTGACGGGGAAAGGGCACAAGAGAAGCTGCAGGCCCGGGAATGTTCTGCATCTTCCTGTGTTTGGTGGTCACATGAGTTTGCACACCTGCAAAACTTCATCAGGCTGCATACTTAAAGTTGGGCACTTTACTACACATATGTTGTTTTCACAAAAAGAAAAGCATACCCAACATGTGGTCCCCTGAAGGTGTGGGCTGCTGAGGGCGAGGGAGGGAGCAGGTGCCCAGGATGGCACAGGAGCCCTCAGGCCCTGTCTCTGGGCTCCCGGGATGGGGCCCCAGGTGGCCAGCGAGCTTGAGAGACACAGGAGGGCACAAAGGGAGCTGCGATGAGGCCCTGCTCCTGACATTGGGGCGCCAAAGGCAGGAGTCCTGCCCGGTCTTGGCCCTGCTCTCGGCAACAGCCAACCCTAAGGCATCCCTCAGGCCCACCCCTCCAAGCATCCCTGAAACCCCCGCCCCGGCCCAGTCCCCGCCCCCCCACCCCAGCCAATGTCCAGAGTGCCCCAGGCAGGTCCTTCCTACACCCAGCACCCCCTGGGCCTAAACCCTTCCCGAGCTCCCCATAACCCCAAGAGAAGCCCAGGGTCCCTGGCCTGCCTTCAGGGTGTGGCCCCTGCCACCCTCCACTGCACCTCTAACCACTCTTGCATCATGGTCTTCAACCACACCAGGCAGCTCCTCCGGCTTGCAGGTTCTGCTTCGTGGGGGAGTCCAGGCCTTGCAGGTTCTCTGCTTCCCCCCTAGCTAGGGAACTCCTCTCCCGCGGCAGACCTCACCCTCACCCTGGAGAGTTTGTGCTCGTCCCTGGCCTCTGTGAGGGGGCCCAGTTGTGTCCCCAGGATTCGCGTGGAAGCCTTAACCCCCAGCACCTCCGAATGCCACTGTATTTGGAGATAGGGCCTTTAAATCACTTCTTGAAGAGGTGATTAAGCTAAAACAAGGTCAACAGGGTGGGCCTCGATCCAATACGACTGGTGTCCTTAAAAGAGGAGGAGATGACTGGGACACAGAACACACACAAGTGAAGACACAGGGCAAAGACGACCGTCCCAACCCTAGAAGAGGAGCCTCAGAAGAACCGGCTTTGCTGACCTTGACCTTGGACTTCTAGCTTCCAGAATTTTGAGAAAATTAACGGCTGTTGGTTAAGCCGCCCCGCTGTGCTACTTATTACCGCAGCCCAGGCAGACTGATGCAGCCGGCCTCCCACAGCTGTGCCCTCCTGCTGTCCCAGCCCCGAGCTCAGAGCTCACGGGGCTGTCTGTGTCCTGGTCCTTTCCCACCAGACCAGGATGCAAAGTTGGGTCTGACTCATCACTGGGTCCCTGGCATCACACAGCTCAGAAGAATAGGTTACCAATGACCGTCCCTCCCTGCAGCTCTGTCTCATACTTGTCCCTGCTGCTATCCTGCTGGTCTCTCTACCATCTAACAAATGTTTCCTGAGACCTTGTCAGGAGCTGGTTCCTGTGCCTGCAATGCTGCTCTCCACCGGGCAACCTTCTGCTCATCCTTCAGGGCCCAGCACAGACTCCATCCTCCGAGAAGCTGGCCCTACCCCGGTGCCTCCAGGTGTCTGTCCCGGGCTCCCTCTACCCTGACCTGCGTCTCCCCTTGTCACTGTGCTAGAGGTCATCTGGGCCCCAGCATGTCTCCCCCGTCAGACTAGGACCCCCTCAAGGGCTGGTCTGACTCATCTCAGGGTGTCTGACACTGCTCAGCACAGGAGGCGTGGGGCCCACAAAAAGGGTGGCCTTGAGCCCTGACGTCCCTTTTCCACTCCTTTGTTTCTGCCCCTCTCCCAGCTGGGACCAATTTTTCCTTCTCCTGCTGCAAACTCCTGCTCCTTTTTAAGTCCCTGGCTCACATGTCACCTCCTCTGTGAGGTCCTCCCCAACTCCCCAGGTGGTCAGTGTGTCCTCTGGGATGCCCTGCCTGTCCCCCTAACAAACCCTGACCACCCAGGCAGCGGCCCCAGCCCCAGACTGCGGGCCCAGGCTGGAGTCACCGCTGCACAGGCTGGGACCGCGTCTTTGGAATGGACAAATGCATGAAAGAACCTCCGAGGGACCAAGACCCAGTCCTGTCCCTAACAAGCCCCTCTCTCTGCTCTCACCTGACTCCCCAACCCTCAGCCAACCCCCCCCCACCTGCTGCTTCAACCTACACCTTCAAGGTAACAGCCCTCTGCAAGGCTAGTGGCTGAGGGGCGAAGTGTTTGAGGGAATTTTCCGCCACTCTGTTTCCACTGTCCTCCCCAATCCCCGCGCCCCTGGCCGCAGGCCGGGCTGATGGCAAAATGGCCAGAGCGGCCCTTCACCCAGGCCCCTCTGACCCTTCTCCTCCTCCATCAGAGCTCTCATCTGATCGTCCCCACCAGGGAAGAATAGGGGACTCCATTTTCCCCATGAACTGAAAGCCAAATGACGTCTCCTGTGGAGATGGGAGACCCCTGAGCTGCCTGCCGGCAGGCCGTGTGCACAGGGGCTCAGGCACGGCCACCCCACAACGCTTTCCCTCGACTAGAATGCTATTCCTGCCCAGATGTGACTTCATGATTTCCCTGGGACGGGATGTGACCGGGCGTCAGATGTTTAAAAGCTCGCCTGCCCCCAGCCCTCACCCCAGGACTCCAATGTACTCCTGCCCTCTGGAAACTTCCAGAGCCTCCCCACCCCCCGAAAGCCTCACGCAGACAGAAAGGCTCATTGGCTACTTCTGGACAACCTGCCCTTCTCCCATCCCAGGCAGCGCGTAACTTTTTGGCAGAACAGGCACGGAAAAGCGATGCAGAACCTGTGGGCCCCCGGGTTCCCACCATCCCCTAGTCGGATCCACCCAGGGCTGTCCACACCCCTGGCCTCACACCCGCTTGCCCGATTGCCCCAGGCCAGGCTCTCTGGCTGCCCTCCCCTCCTCACCCCTCCCTCGCCCCTCCCTCCCGGACTTTCACTTCTCCTCTGCATTTCCCCCAGCCGGTTTTAGCAGACTTGGGTCAGCTTCTCGTTAGCACTTACCGAAAATGGGGCTAAATATAGAGGGCCCAAGGGCTGCCCCTCACCCCTCCCGCCCCTCTTGGCCTGTCCCCTGGGTCCCCTGCTCCACAGCCTGCTTCAATCAGCGCTAGGGCTGGGAGCCCCTTTGGGCTGGGTCTGCGCTGCCGGGAACCTCTGTGGGCCCAGCTGGCCCAGTGCTGGCCTCCTGAGGAACCGCACCTCACACCCCCACACCCCCACAGCTGTCCCTGGGCAGCCTCAGGGGAGTGAACACTTCTGAGTTCACTTGTGTCAGGAGGGAGGGATGGGGATACAGGGCAGACACAACAAGAGATGTAGCCCCCCCGCCCCCCCCCATGGTGCTGACAGCAGGCAAGAGATGCCACAGCACATACACCAGGGCCACAGCCAGGCATGGTCCCGACACAGACAGCGACCTGCAAACACACACGGGGGAGGGGTGCACAGGTCCAGACGGGGTGTGTGCAGATGAAGACACAGGCCCAGACACGCAGTGACACGGGCAGATATGCAAAACACACCCAGATGTGGTTGTGCACACCTGCACACATCCACGCACACAGTCACACAGAGAGATGCACACTCCCACATCCAGAGTCACTCACCGACGGAAATACAGATACAGATGTGTACCTACACACTCAGGTAACTCAGACGCACACACAGATGGACACACACTCACACCCCAGAATCGCTCTCCAACAGACCTACAGACATTCACACACTCACACACCCAGGTCACTCAGACACACAGACAGAGTCACTCACAGATGGATGTGCATCCACAGACACTCCCAGGCCACTCACCTGGACACACACACTCACATGCCCTGCGCCCCCTCCTCCTGGGAGATGGCCAGGGCGGAGCCCTGACCCCAGTTCACAGACCTTCAGCACAGGACCAGGCAGAACGGGTGATCTGCCCAAGGGCACACAATGTATTCAGTCCTGCCCAGGCAGGCAGAGCCTGGCCAGGCCTCCCAGGCAGGGCAGTTCAGTGAGAAATGCCAAGTAAAGGGTCTAACCCAGTGCCTGGCATGTATGAGACCCCATTCGGCCCCAGGCAGGGGTGAGCCAGCGGTGGAGCAAACAGCATGTGTGTGCAGACGCTGTGTCCACACAGTGTGCACACACACACACATACATGGTCGCACACACGGTCCTTCCACAAACAATCACATGCCGCCCTGAAAGGCATCTTCTTTCCGTCTCAAGCCCCTCCTCACCCTTTTGCCTTGCTCACACCCACTTCACATATTAACCCGGACATCCCCTCCTCCAGGAAGCCCTCCCTGACAGCCCACAGGCTGAACTGGTCAAGTCTTCTGGGCTCCCGCAGCCCCCAGCCCTGACCCCCCTGCCTGTGCCTCCCCCACCCTCCGGTGACAGACCTGTCTCCCTTACTGGACTCCAAGAATACTGAACGAAAGCCGTCTCTCAGCTGTATTTCCAACACCCAACACAGAACTGCTGAACAAATACACCTTGGTAGAGGATCACATACACCAATCCCACAGGATGGCACACACCAAAGCAGGACTCGTCCCCCCAGAAAGCCACACATTTTTACACATACCCACAGCCATGCTCGTGTGGCCACAGATAAAACCATCATGAAGTACTTAGACCCTAGCCTAGTTCCAGGCACTGTTACACGTTGACATATATTACCTCATTTAGCTCTCCCTTCAGCACCACCGAGAGACAGCCATCACTATGCAGAGAGACGCATTACACCAGATTCGACAACGAGCCCAAACCGCCTCGTACGGTGCCTGGCCCACAGTGTTCACTCAGTCCACTAACATCTCGTGCATTTTCAGGCCGCGGTCAGTGCCATGAAGAAAAGGCGAACGGGGCAAGGGGACCAGAACGGTGGGGTAAGTGCCAGTGTAGACAGAAAGGCCAGGAAGGCTCCTCGAAGTGTGACATCGGACGTGAATGAAGTGAGGAAGTGGCTGTGAGATCACTGCCCAGGCTACCCCCTCAGCAGCCCCCCACTCTCCCTCACACACGGCCACGGGACAGGCGCACTCAGACTCGCGGTCAGACTCGCCGCGGCCTCTCACGCAGCGCGCACACTCGAAGTCCAGCAACTCGCTCAGCCTGCCAACCCGTTTGCAGCCCCACTCAGGTCGCGCCCCCACCTGTCCTCCATATGAGAGCCTGCCACCCATCCCAGGTTGCATCCCTCCCCCCGGAGCCTTCAGAACAGGGCGGCAGAGACGCAGAGAAGAGCTTGGGAGCCTCCAGGTGTCTGACGTGAAAGGAGAGGAGAAAAAGGAGCTGGGAGTGGGGACCCAGGATGAGAAGGGGAAGCTGCTTAGGTACAGAGTGAGAGGACAGAGGAGACAGCCAAGGAGGAAGGGCAGGCCAGGCCAGCGATGCGCGCAGCAGGCCCGACCCCGAGAAGCGGCCCCTATCCCTGGGCCGCGCCGCCGGCCCCTTACCTGGAGCCCCCATGCCGGAGTGAACCGTGCTGCCCGCCCCGCAGGGCTGGGGGAACAACTGTGTCATCTCCCCGCCCTCTCTGGGGGCCAAGCCCTCTCTGCCGGAAGTCACCCTGAGAGGAAACCACAGGTCCGCCCCCTTCGGAAGGGAAAATACCCTGGGCTGGAAGGCCCACCCCAGCAGGCAGCGACCCCAAATCGTGCGGGCTGGGGAAGTGGGAGTAGGGAGGCGGGGCGCAAGCAGCTGGAAGAGCTGACTCCTACGGAGGTGCCTCCCGGGGGTGCCCGCAACAGTTGCCCCATCCCCCTGCTGCCTCCAGGGCAAATCTGGAACAGGACCCGTGGGCCGGGAGAGAATGTGGCCCCAGAACGACGACACTAAGACATTAGCTAGAAGTGTTCAGGGGGAGCGGGAGGCTTTCCCAGTGCCAGGCCCTGCACCTCGCCCTTGACGAGCGTCATCTCTTAAGGTAATCATCATTTGCTCCATTTTACAAAAGAAAAGACTGAGGACCGGGGAGGGGAGGTGGCCTTCACGCGAGCCCAGAGCCAGAGAGCACGGCAGGAGGCGGCTTCTGCGGTGGGTTTCTACACGGCTCTAGGGGGAAGGGGGTGCACTGCGTGCACCTGTCCGCAGGTGAGGCGTCCCGGGCCCCCACTGAGCGGAAGCGGTGCCTGCGGGCAGTGGCAGTGCAGGCGGCAGGTCCGGGCCTGGCCCTGGAGCAGCAAGAAGTCTGCCAGGGGGCAAATACAGGCGCCCGAGAGGGCTCGGATGTAGGGCAGCACCGGGTCCCCTGGCCATCCGCGGGCCCTTCGCGCCGCTGCGCTCCCGGCCCAGCGCTTCCCTCCGCGCCCGCCAGAGGGCGGCAGCGCCCAGCCAATGGGCGGGAGGGCGGGGCCGGCTGCGGGGACCGGAGCTCCTTCCTCGCTCCCCTCCCCGCCTACCCCTCTTCCGCCCCCCGCGCGCACACCTGCGAGGGTCACACAAAGGCGCAGGACTCCCGGCGCACCGCGGCGCAGACAAAGGCTTGGCTGGGCCGCTGCCCTCTTCCTGCTCCCGGTGCCAGGTCCGAGGCCGCCGGGCTGCCTGCCTCCTCCAAACAGCCCACCTGTCCTCTCCGGGCCCTGCAGTTCTCACTGCGCCCCACGCTGTGGGACCCCCAAACCACACGCGCGCACACCGACGCCCGGACTCACCCTCCCCCAGCACACACATACACTGAAGCACTTCACACACACGTGTGCCCATGCAGACACACAGGAACACTCCCCTGTGCACAGGCCCCAACAGCAACCCTCCCTGACCACTCGCCTTTTAGACACCCCCAGCTGCCTCAGGTGGACACATGGGCACAAGGGCACACCTACACACGTGTGCCCACACTCACACCCATGCACACTCACGCAGGATATAACACAGGCAGACCTTCACGAGTGCCCTTCGTCCTCGTGGGCCCAGTGCACCCAGACACGCCCGGCAGGCCAGCTGGCGGCGGGCAGGCCCACTCCATGGGAATGGCCAGCAGTCCTTACATCTGCACACACAGGAGACAGACAGTTCCCAGCTGTCCACACTCCACAACATCCCATATTGTAAATGCCACCCAGCAACAACCTGGCTCCAACCCAGACCTCCTGCCTCCTGGTCTCTCGCCATCTCGGTCTCTATCTCTGTCCCTATTTCTATCTCTAAGCACCATCTCTCTCTGTCTCCTGAGGGATTTCTACAGGTGAGGGCCTTCCAGACAGCTGGCCGGTGGCAGTGGGGTACTGGAGCCTCGTCAAAAAAGCTTCGTTTGCCCAGGATACTCCGTTTTGATTTCGGATTTATGTTTTGGAGGATTTGGAAACGAGGATCATAAGCACACTATGGGGAGGGGCACCAACACCCACCAAGTCGCCCCCGTGCTCCACCTTGGACATAGTCACCATCACCCCTGCGTGGAGCGCGCTTCTGGACATGACTGGGTGTCGGTCCCCGCTGGTGAGGTGAGCGAGGAGAAGCACCACTCTTCCAAGCTGCCCTCCCAGGCCTGCAGCTGAGCGGGGGTGCAGAAGAAGCCTTCTGGGGTGAAGCCACCCCACCTCTCTTGCCTCTTCAGTTGGCTCCACCACTATGGCCTCAGGCGAACCAGGACTGCGTCCCTGAGCCCCAGTCAGGGAATCTTGAAGGGGAACGGGTGTGAGATATTGCCCTACCTGACAGAGGACAGAGGAGCAGAGTTTGGGGCACACTGGGTGGGGGAAGCCTGGCGACCAGGAATGAGGTGGCCAAGGCAGGGGAGATGGTGGCCTCTCGGCTGGAGAAGAGAGCTCAAGCCGTGTAGAGCAAGCCGGGTAGGGCATGGGAGCGGGGGAGCAGTGGGGGCCCTGGGGGTGCGGGGAGCCTGGGCGGGAAGCGGCGCGGGGAGGCCAGGCTGGGCTCAGGGCTGAGCGGTAATTAAAGGAGACGCAGGGGGCTCCCCAGGGCCAGCGGGGCTGGTAACTGACACGCGGGCCCCATTGCTCCGCTCATATTTCTCACCGGATCGATACGTTTGACTCCCGACAAGACAATAATCGCTTGTACGCGGCCGGCGAGTCGATCAAATACATTATTAGAGCGAGGTCCCCCGGGGGCCCGGCGGGGAGTGCTGGGGGGAGCAGCCAGCCCACCGGGGACAGCAGAGCAGGATTCTTCACCCCTCAGGGCCCCCAGCCATGGCCTCTTCCTCTCGGCCACCACCCCCGGGGACCCTGTCTGCAGCTTGGTTCCCCAGCCTCTTTCTGGATCCTGCTGTGTCTGGCGACATCTCCACTGAGCCCCTGGCCTTGTCCTCATGCTGTGTGGGACCCAAGGGGTCTCTCCCAGTAAGTTCTGCCTAATCTGTAGGGTGGTGAGATGTGGGAGCTCAGAGGCCCCTCCGGGCCCCCAGCCTCGCAGAAGATGGAGAGACGGGGTTGCCCGCCGTGCCGTGAGTCGACGCCAGAACGAGAAGATGAGCTCAGGCCTCAGGTTCATTGACACCGACTTCCCTCTGCAACTCAGCACATCTGCCCAAGCTGGGCAGCCTCTGGGTTGGGGAGACTGGGGCGAATGGGGGCAGGGTCCTAAACACATGGGAAAACAGTTTGGGGGTGGCAGACAGACACACAGACAAAGGGATGTCGAGCTGGTCCTGCTACATGGCCACAAGGTCATGTGGCCACAAGGCCACAACGGGCCTCCCGTACTGTCAAATCAAACCCCGCCCGGCCTGGCCGATACTTGTCCACCTCTTCCCCAGATGGGCTCCTGCCTTCATTTTCTGCTTACGTGCCTGCTTCGCCCTTGGGCCTGCCCTCAGAACTGCTTCTCCAGTGGCCCTAAGTTAAGGTCTGGCTAAAGCCACCCCATGTTCTGGTCAGGAGCAGCCAGCACCCAGGCACTTAAAATATTTCTGCAATGGCAGTAACGACATCACTGTCTATTCTGTGCTAGTTGAGCCAATACATTATTTCTAATCTCAGGAGGTAAGGTCTGTTACCATCCCCTTTTCGCTGATGACCTGGAGCTCAGAGAGGTGAAGTCAATCGCCACATGTCACACAGCATGTGAGTGGCGGAGCAGGATGCAAACCAGACCTGTCCTCACTGCTTGCTCTTGCTCTACTCTGCCACGGGCCTCCTCAGAGGTCTGAAATGCTCCCTGTCCTCCATTGGACAGCAGAAAGCCGTTCCCTGCCCACTCAGGAACACTGGAATCTCCTCGCAGCCCACCCTCCCCCACCCAGCCCTTAGAGTCCATTTCTGATGCTCAGTAATGCATTGGACTCCTTCTATTGAAGGAGCCCTTCGGTTCCTCATTTCCTTCCATTTGAGCATTTCCTGCGTGTCCCTTAGTGACAAAGCCCTGGGCTGGGGCTGAGGACCCAGAGACAAGCTTGAACCTGTCTCGGGAGCTCACAGCCCAAGGGGAAGACCGAAGTTGATGAAATACCCTGATATTCCCTCATTGAGTGAGTATCTGGTAAACGCTGTTATGAGCTGGGCCATCGTTAGGCTCAGAGAATGCAGGGGTTAAAAGTCAAAACAATCAGGTGTACCTCAGTAAAGCTGGTTAAAGAAAAAAGATGTTCTTTCTCTCTCCCCCCACCCCTGATTTGGCTTACAGCCTTTTGGGGGCAACCATTTGAAAACCATTAAATAAATATGTAATTCTAAGTTAGGAAAAGTGCTTTCTGGAACAGGATACCTGATGGAAGCTGGAAGGTGGCACTTACTCCGCAGTTGGACTATTCCTAAGGCAAAGAGTGTGGGGAAGAGCAGGCAGGCCACGGGAACAGAGGAGGCGACGGCCCTGAGGCAGCAAGCAGCATGGCAATCGCAGCAGCAAAAGGAAGCACGTCTGGCTGGAGCAAAGCGAACAAGGAGGATGTGGGAAACGAGGCGGAGAGGAAGGCGGGCAAACCACAGGGCCTTGGAAGCTAGGGTGAGTCTCCTGGACTTTACTGTAAGTTCAGCGGGAGACCACAGAGAGGGTTTGTAAACCAGGTAGTGGCATAGTTCTGTGAACATTTTCATGGATGATTCTGGCTGCTGTGGGAGGCTAGTCTGAAGGGGCTGCAACGTGAGGGAGGTCAGCTGTGAAAAAACAGGGGTGTCCACGTGAGAGTTGGTGATGGTGGGACCAAGGGGTGGCAGCAGGGGGTGGAGAAGGAGCAGGAGTCTCCGGAAGCGATTTTGAGAGTAGACGCAACAGGCCTGGTGATTGGCTGAAGGCGGAGTGTGGAGGAGAGGGACCAGTAAAGAATGAGGGTCAGGTACGCAGAAGCGCCTTTCCTGCCACAGAAGGATGGTGGGGGAGGAGGCATCAGGCTCAGGTGAGAAAGATCCCAGCAGGACATCACAGGTGCCCTGAGGTTGGACCTGATATTGTAGGTGGAAGGCTTCTGTAGAGGGAGATTCATGGGGGACTGGCTGGTGGGAGGATCTGTAGGCCGGATGACCAGAGGGCAGCCTGGGACAGTGACTGCGACGTCAGGGGAGGCAGGGGCCGTGACAATGCGGATGTGGCTACGAATTTCCGTGAGAGTCTGCAGGACCCTAGT